CGCACCTTATAAGACAATGTTTAGACTCCTTGTAGCTCCACCACCAACAGATGTCTGCAAATGTAAATGCTGAGCAGGGCTAAACTTCAGAGTGACAAAAATCTACGCAACAAATGGTCAGCAAATATCAATGGAAGTAAGTACTCACTTCAGATTTATTGTTACAAAGAGATTTAGGCCACTTTAAAGAAGGAAAGCTGCTTCTGCTGTTTCTGAACCACATCTCTGTTGAGGAAGCGGAGTGTCAGCTACGCGTCTGAGGTGGATTTGTGTGCCTGGATGCATAAAGGAACAAAGTAAGCTGTGGGATCAAAGAGCCGCCTATCGTTAAGGCTTTTACTCACCTCGTGCATAGCTCAAGATTTATTTTTATATCCCCATAAATGCCTCTGCTTCAGCATAAAACATGACTGTGACAGAAGCATTGTTCAATGCTTTCCCCCTTATAACATAATTTATACATACAGACAGGAGAAAAACAAAATGTGTGCCCAGCTAGGAGATGACGTGCCACCGGCAATTTGGTACCATGGTACTAATGACATGAGTAATCAATTAATGTGATGGCAAAAAAGGACACTTTAAGTAGATGAAGAGAACAGGAAATAAAATGGTTAGTCACTGTGAGAAAACGAGGAATGTACATGTAATAAATTGATTTAATGGGGGGATTTGGAGAAGAAGAAACAACATGAACCAATTAATTCATATAATAAGGAAGTGGAAAAAGACATTTAAATATGGGAGTGCTAAACAGGTGATCATGTTTAGCAGCAGAGGCAGAGGGAACACATGGAGACTGAAACTCTTTATCAGGCATCAGGTTAATCTGAGATTGGGCGGAAAACCCTACAGAGATGTAACAGAAATAATACAAAATGTAAAAAGAACCGATTGAGGGTGAATGGACTGATATTGTAGTAGAAACAATAGAAACCCAAAACCTTACACTCCAGGAATGTGACAAACAGTTGTTTTTACATGTCCTCCACTTATAAATTGAACACTTCTTTTGCTATTTTACCAAACTCAAAAATGTCTCCAGGCAACAGCCTCGATAGGTCCTATTGTGATTTTCACACTCATGTCACCAAAATATTGTTTAATTATACTCTCATCTGATGCAGCTGTGTGTTTATGGGGAATATAAATAAGTTTAAATATTTTAGGAACAATCCATTATATCAATGTACACCAATTTAAAACCTGTGGTCACTGTGGAGTGATTTTAGGTCTTTTTATATTATTCATAATTCATCATTACCAGAGCACTTTGATTACAGTTTATAAGAATAAAAACAAATTTCCTCCATAGTATTGCTTAATTTTAATATCAGTTGTATAATTAAAGACTATCAAGACTTATATCAAGCATCCATAAAAAGGGATTTATTAGATGAACACAGACTTTCTTAGCGTCCTAATTTTCTTCTCATGACCATAAACATAGAATCATGTGACAACTTGGTGTGTATAAAAAGAAGAATTGCTCTCTGGAACAACAACCAACACCAATCTATGAATCCATCAGCTTGAAATCTCTGTAGGCCTCTTTATAACACTCTGCTTATGGGAAAATAGTCTGATTGTGAACAGAGTGCATCAGTGGAAAGTGTATTCGTGGGAGATGCAGGTGGCCCTGATTCCCAGGTGGGGCACCAAACCGAGTTATCTTGCTGGGTCTTTTCAGAACCACCTGTTTGGTACTAATGTGATCTGAGACCATAAAGACCAGAGTGTCAGGTCTCCTTTGGCTGTCCAAATCATTACAATACATTGCTACGAAGGAGGCTTGAGCTTCTGACTCAATTGAAAAACAATTGGTTAACAAATAGTGCGTAACGATGTGGAACAAATTCTATCTTACATACAAGGTGGAAAAAAGCTGGGCTCTGAAAGCCAGTTCACTTCATCATCATCATCTTCATCATCATCATCAAGTCGCTCATAAATGAGTTTTTATTAGATATAAGACATAATTCTCTTTGTCTCACTTTTAAAAACTAAAATCAGCTTCTATCTCATCTGGAGTAGATCTCTTAAGGGTGTTCGCCTGATCGGTTCAGATGTTTGTTTTCAGGTTGAACAGTCGGCAACAATTGATTGTCCTTCCGAATGCATGCAGTGGAATTTGCCTCCCTCTGTGCTTTGGTCATGGTGTCCTGTTTCAAGCATAGGTTGTTGGATTATCTCTGACTTGTTGTGACAACAGATGGTAAGCTCTGGTGTATACAGTATAAACTCGTCCTAGGACAGTGTGCGGTAAGAAATGTCATCGCCTTACTGTTGTAGAGGGTCTGCTTTCCTTTGCTGATTTAAGATAAATACTGCAGCTTAACGCCTCTGATTACATTTTAATTCATATTTCATAAAGGAGGCTGACACAGCCTTGAAAATATGCAGTGTATGTATTCCTGCAGATAACCCGACTCTATCTTTAGCTCTGCATCTCTTTTCCGCCATCCTTTTGATGATCACAAATTATAAGTATGCACACAAACAGGCACTGGATAGACCACATACCAGCACTCAGCAGACATACTGGTACCAGAAAAGAGATTTTTCTTTTTAACTGCTTGCGTCTAGATTAAACACTACTATCAATACAGATTCAAAATGTGCCTTGATGTGCACGCTGAGCCTGCACGTTATTTTCCCATTATTGATGATGTTATCTGTGAAGGAAACATTCGGGCGCTCTGGTCATGGGTCAAGTGACTTTCCCAGGCCGGAGTGTGTTACCGAACATGAAGCAGACGTGTGTTTGCGCATGCTCGACTTGTTACAGCCAAGGGGAAGTCCGGACACTCCGGGATCAGTTCATGATGTTCAGTCTTAGTTGTGAACTATTGAGGAGAGAAATTACTAACAGGCTCAAGCTTACCACAAGGGGGGTCTGAAAACAAACAGAGAGGCTGCTGATGCAGAGAGGAATGCCTTGAAGGTCAATGACCCCATAAATTTAACTGTACTATACTGCTCAGCTTAATTTGCACCAGGCACAGATAATTGTGTACAGATTGTGCATTCTTAAAGCTTACAACACACAAGTGGCTGAGGCTTTTTACCTAAAGTGTTGCATTAATTCAATTCAATTCGGTTTATTTATATAGCACCAAATCACAATACATGTCAATTCAAGGCACTTTACAGTTCACCAGATAATACAGTCAAATTGATTTAAAGTTTTCTATCTAAGGAAAACCAGTTGATTGCATCGACCCATGGACTTGGATGCAATCCCTCACACTAAGCATGCTTGTAGCGACAGTGGAGAGGAAAAACTCCCTTTTAACAGGAAGAAACCTCCAGCAGAACCAGGGTCAGTGTGAGAGGCCATCTGCAGAGGCCTACTGGGGTTCAAGGAGACAGAAGCAGAGATACACGAAGGTGTCATTCTTGCATTTCACTCCTGGAAGTCATCATCATAAAATCCCATTATTTATTTCTACTACAAAATAGGGATTTTTGAGCTTTTCTGAAAATTCTTTATCATTTGAGCTGGAACTGTTTTTTGTTGTCATTGCTTCCAGTCTGACCCATTTCTTAGGAACATTGGTCCTGAGCTCAAAGGATGACCCTCTGTTAAACGTGAAGTGAATCCTTTAAATCTTTACTACAACAATCCTGGCATATAGGTGTTAATAATTTTTTCTTTGGTTGTAGCCATGAAAATAGAAAAGATAACTGGTATTTATCATACAAGTTTTATACCTTATCTGGACGATGATGCCTCTCATAAGTCCTGTTTGAGATCTTAAGAAGATATTACTTTTAGAAACTGCTCATATGAAATTCAATCGGGAAAAGATCCTGCAAGATGATAATGTTTAGTTAAACGTTAATTTTGTTCTATTAACACAATAACAAAACAAATGTTTTTTTTTTTAAGATTTAATAGCACTTATTTAAAGTCGAAAGAATGGCAAGAACAGAAAGAAAGGTTGAGATCCAAATTGAAACTAGTGAAAGGCTCAGACATGGCAAACCTGATAAAGTAATTAGTTATGGAAAGGCAGCAAAACCAGACAGATCAGAATAACACTAGAATAAAAAGATTCAGGGTGAAACATCGGCAGTTTCTGACAGGAGGTGACAGACGCGGAAGTAGCCTGAAAACGCAGATAATCAAGAAACTCCTGTAAGCCTGAATTGAGCCGATAAAGAAAAATATTTTTTTGACCTGAAAACTCCACTGTCTGTCTGCCGATGGGTCCATGTCTGGCCAGATTATTCTGTAAAGACGCCAAACAGATGGACCCAGTATTCAGGCAAGACAGACAGTTGGATAACTTTAAAAGGCATTGATTAAAAAAACTGGCGGACCGGATCTGCAGTAGCAATGACTTGGGCATCTATCACAGGAAACTCAGGTTTAACAGTTCATTTGAGAACGAGGTAGAATCCAGGCCGTGGGTTGCCAACAAGATGCAGTGGGCAAAATACAGTGAAATATCCTAAGTTTTTAAGTGTGGCATTACTTTTACTATCCAATTTTTCTATAAAATTTGAGGAAATTGTTAACAATATGAGAATAATAGTTGCAAAAAAGTAAAATAAAAGTCAGAGCTGCAGAAAACTGGAGAAATATTGATAAAGACACCATTAAGACAGAAAATGCGTACCCAAATGTAGGTTAAAGTATAAATGTTTTGCACAGTAATGAAAGAAGTTCATCTCAAATAGAGTAATAGAGTTTTTGTAGCTGAATCCTGAGGTTGAGTCACAATTCAGGAATACAGAGTGAGGAAAATTTTATCTTACAGCAACGAGGCTTGGCTCATTTTTTTAAGCAGATCACCTCTCATGGCTTCTCAAAAGTTTGAGGAATTTTTCACCTTGCATTGACTCCTATGACACAGAATGTTATCAGTTTTCCTCTGTGACCTCACCCAGGTCAGGTAGAGTTTACTGCTCTGCTAGAGTTTACTGCTGGTACTTAGACCTGGGTGAACTTGACTTGTCTCTCTTTCACCTTCTATGTCTGGTTCTGTTTTTAGATTGGTGCCAATGTGCTGATCTTCCTGTGCACTAACATCATTGGAATTTGTACACACTACCCTGCTGAGGTCTCGCAGAGACAGGCCTTCCAGGAGACGAGAGGATGTATTCAGGCCAGACTGCACCTCAAGAGGGAGAATGTGCAGCAGGTAGATACTCACACCATCCTCCATGTTCCATCAGAGTCTAACAGGGAGGCAGCCGTGTCCAGGTCCTCTAGGAAAACCCGTCACACATATGCGAATAAGCAACGAATGGGATTCTCCATGTGGCAACCTAATTTGTTTGTCGCTGTTTTTTTGAGGTCACAAACACAAATCTCCACTCCTTTCTATTTGACTAATATGTTCCCAGGAGTATGCCAGCCGACATAGTGACTCACACAGTATTTTTAGTGGAAATAATCTTTAAAAAGTCCTTTCTCTCTCAATGTTTTTCTCAACCTCCCAAACCCCCCCCCCCAACACACACACACGCACACACACACCTCTCGCTCTTTCTCTCTCTCTGGTTCAGGAACGTTTGCTGCTATCAGTTTTGCCGAGGCACGTTGCAATGGAGATGAAGGAAGATATCAACGCAAAGAAGGAAGACATGATGTTTCACAAGATCTACATCCAGAAACATGATAATGTGAGGTAAACCTAGTAAAGCACAGAAACACAGACAGTTAACACAGCATTTTTATGGCTTTTATTGAAGAATCTGTTACCTCAAAGAGAAATCTTTTATGCATATTATGTTTAAATGACACTGATATTATCATAACCACAATGTTTTCAGTAGCAAAACATACGCGGTAGACCGTAACCTTCCTGTTCCTCTGCCCCCAAAATCACACAGCGTTTTCACATCCTAAAAATGAATGACTTTACTAAGAGTGAGAGGTTACTGCGGATCTTCTGTGGCAAATGACCCAGATAAGGAAGGGTGATTTACAGTGCTTAGTGGCCTCATGTTTTGCTTCACTGCTGACCTGCTTAGGTTTAAATATTTATGGATCAATCAATTATCTCAATGTGACCCAAATTAAAACCTGTGGTCATGGTAGAGCAATGTTTAGCTCATTTTATGAAGTCTTAAGGACAGCATCAGGAATTAAATAGGTTGCTTCTAAACCTACTTTTTTTTTTCATTTTCACATGTCATATTTGACAAAATCATATAATTAAAATTATAAATATATGAACAGTTAAATTTGTTATTCTAATATTTCTAATATTCTGCTCTTCGATTACTCAATAAGCCCAAGTGGCTGCATGTTTGAAGTGTAATAATACTTGGGCTTTTTTCATTTTTTGTTTTGTTTTTCAGTTTAAATAAAATAAGAAAGTTATTGTTCCTCCTTTCCACAATCATGTATTACTATGTGTGTCTATCACATAATATTTCAGTAATAAATATATGTTACATCAAAACTTTTTTATTAACATGACAAAAAGGCTAGATTTAAAGAAGTATGAATGCTTTACAAAGTATTGTATAAAATGCATATTTCTGCAGGGATGGAAAACATAATACTGAAATAAAAACCACAAGTTCATTTAATATGTACCTGTTCTCCCCTTTGGGGTTGCCACAGAAAGTCATTTCAAATGGACACAGATTTGGCAGTTTTTCCTGCCCTGACCAGGTTTTATAACTGAGTTTCCCATATGAAAGATACAGGAAACTCGGGTGTAAAACCCACTACACAACAGATAGATTTAATTAAATATGGGAACATTACAGCTCAGAATAATTGTTTCTATCGATGTAAGAGACTACTGCCCACACTGAAATGTTAGGGAGACTTGAGTCTCAAATGTTGTTTGTAGGACTCAGATCCCTCCTGGGAACGTCAACATCATGTCTCACCTTAAACAGTAACCATAGCTTTGGTATTGTTTATTCTTGTGCTTCGTTTCTTTAAAGTGTTTGAAAGGCAAAGTCAAGCAGACATGTGGTGACCTAAATCCGGCTGAACGATGAGAGCCATAGCTGAACAAACATCTGCGACTCTTTGTCTTTTCTCTGCTTCATTGGCAGCTGGAGCACACCGCTCCTTCCCTGTGTATTTTATTGATTGATCTAATTCGTACTCTTTTTCTCTTTTATGTTTCTTTCCTCTCTTTCTATTGATTTATCCTCTCTCTTTCTTCACTTTTACTACCTGGCTAACATGGAATGACCTGCAGCATTCTGTTTGCCGACATCGAGGGCTTCACTAGCCTGGCATCTCAGTGCACAGCGCAGGAGCTGGTCATGACGCTGAATGAGCTGTTTGCCCGCTTTGACAAGCTGGCTTCGGTGAGACATCTGAGATGCCTGCTGCTCTAACTTTCAATGCCAACTTTTGAACATATGACTCTAAAGTAGCTAAAAACTCTGTAAACTTCATATGTATGACTGACTCTGACTCTAAAATATATTCTAAATCCCCTTAGTTAGAATATGCATAGACTTCTCAACATTTTTATGAAATAAAAAAAGACCTTTAAGATTTACCCTATTTTTCCAACACTTAAATACCATCAAACTAATCTTAATCACAGACAAATATAAGTTAACTCAATACAATTTTCTAGCATTTATTTGTTAAATTATTTTATAAAGGAAAAACAGGCAAATTAAACCAACTTACTCCTATGAAAATATATAATCCACCCCTTCAGTCTTTGATAAAAGATGATTAATCATATTTTATTTTTTTTAATTTTAGCAGCTTGAATATTTCTAGACAGATTAATAAAAAAAATGAATTTTTCTGAAAAAATTAAATAGGCTTTAAAACCTACAGAAGCCATGCATTGACTTTCTAAAGAAATTCTAGAATGGGGGACATTGGAAAGAGCTATGAAGCTACTGGGACTTCAATGATTCACATACAGTAGAGAAATATTATTAACAAACAGAGAAATAATGCAGAACAGTTTCTAAAGGCTTCTTGCATCACTTAAGGTCTGTGTTCATGATTTAACAATAGGAAACAGTGAGCCATAGAATCTGTTTGGGAGTTCCAAGGAGAAAACTACTGCAGAACAAAATGAACAGACATTATCATGTGCTTGTCTTTTTATTTTTTTTGTAGTAATCAAAACTAAATAATAATTTAAACCATTTTATGCAGTAGTTTGGTTGATTAGGTTACTATTTTATCCTAATAACAAAATATTTCCTCTTTTTTTTTGCTAAAAATGAAATGTTTTTAGTTCAAGTGACAAAAAAATGCTGAAAATATAATAGAATAATGAATATTTTACTGGAAGTTGAACATTTGCTGTTATCAAGACCTAACATTCAAGGTTAGATTTGCATTTTGTGCCTTTGCTGAACAGGAGAACCACTGCCTGCGCATAAAAATCCTTGGAGACTGTTACTACTGTGTTTCAGGGCTGCCCGAGCCCAGGGCTGATCATGCCCACTGTTGTGTAGAGATGGGAGTAGACATGATCGAAGCCATCTCGTAAGTGAATATTCCAATCTAACAAACTGAAACATGTTAAAAACATCTCTAAAATGAACCTGGGGTGGACTCCTGTCTTTTTTTTACAGTGGTGTCTGTATTTTTTAATGCACAGGCTGGTAAGAGAAGTGACAGGTGTTAATGTGAACATGCGGGTGGGCATTCACAGTGGACGAGTTCACTGTGGGGTGCTGGGCCTGCGCAAGTGGCAGTTTGATGTCTGGTCCAATGATGTGACGCTCGCCAACCAAATGGAGGCCGGGGGGAAAGCAGGGTGAGCACTTCAGGGTCCACCTGCTGCACTGATGGATGATCAGATATTACCTTAGGTCATCTCTGACTCTAAAAACTTGTTTCTGCAGACGCATTCATATTACCAAAGCCACTTTGCAGTACCTTAACGGGGATTATGAGGTAGAGCCAGGACATGGAGGGGAGAGGAACGCTTACCTGAAGGAAAACAACATTGAAACCTTCTTGGTGCTCGGCTGCAGCCAAAAAAGAGTAAGTGCATGGCAGAATACACACGTTCCTGTTTATCAGCGTGACTCCTTTTGAAATACCACACTAGTGCCATGTATTTCACACAAACAGCTGAAGGGTTTGTCACCTGGTTTGAGGGTATTGTTTTTTACGCTCAGAAAGAAGAGAAAGCCATGATGGCCAAAATGCAACGAACACGTGCAAATTCTGCAGAGGGACAGTTGCCTCATTGGGTGTCTGATAGAGCTTTCTCCAGAAGCAAGGAATCCAAAGTCTACAAGAAAATGGTGAGATTCCCACTAAACACTTTGTCATGTTAATTTTTTTTTTGCCGGTTTACAAAAATTTTATATACTGGTTTGTTTTTGATTCAGATATTTTATGCACCCCACAATGAATGGAGCTATATTTGATCTGAAATGCTTTGTTGTAAAGAGAAAGATTGTGCTGGTATCTAACATAGTGAAAGATTATAGACCTGAGCTTGTTTTTATTAGTTCCAGCATGCACACTTTTAGCAAACCCTGTAAGGGCAGTATTGGTGGCTGCTGTTCATAGTTGGAAACATTTTTGACAGAAACAAGCAACTGTACCTCTTGTTTTTTTTCTGCTAAGATAAAATTATGTCAAATGCTAAAATGGTTGAATATCTGACCAACCCTACTTAAAATTTTAATTTCTGTGAAGAACTTCTGATTTAAAAGCCACAAGCAGTTGTTTCAGAAAATGAAAACACACAAATAAAGGTTCTGTAAATACATTTTAGGATCAAAAGAGTGAGAAAGGCTTGCAGGGCCTTCTGTGCATAAAAGAGCCTCTGGAATTGTAGAAAAGAAATTGAATCATTCCTATCAAACAAACAGAAATCATGAAAGATCTCCAGGGGAGCTTCCTGGTCCTTCAGCATTTCTCCTTCACCACTCTCCTTAATCTTTGTCTCATTTCCTTTTTATTCTTGCATTCTTTCTCTTTCGTCCTCCTACTCTGTTCTTTCTATCTCAGAGGGTCTGAGCCCTTGGGGCAAAGAGGGTGTAATTTGAAGCCTTTGAGCATTAATTAAAACATCAGTCTGGCTCAGAGGGATTAACTGTGCTGATGTCTGACTCTGTCTATTTTTCAGTTTAAATGTAGCTGCACATTGACTTGTCCCCTTCATTTCAGTCAATATTTTGAGATTTTTTTTCTGTCCTCTTTATGATCTTCTTTTTTATGTCTTTTTCCCAGGGCATTGATGCAGCATCAAGCAAAGAAAAGTGAGTATTTTTGTTCCATCTTTTGTTGCTGGGGCAGCTTGTGTTATAAGAGTTTTCTGGCTGACTGTCAGTGTAGATCTTTCACTCGGGTGCCTACTGTTAGTTTTATTTAGTCAGATCCAGCAAAGCACTAATACCATACTAGATCTTGTTCTTCCTGCCTGTCATAACACAGGTCGATTCTCTCAAAAACACATTTTTGCTGATACAATCAGACCTTAAAGTGACATACTGCTGCATTTGTTGCAACCATCAGTACCTCTAAAGGACTTTAAAGTTCATAACCCACCCAGTTTCTCCGGTTATTTAAAACAAAGAAGACTTGTATTTAGCTAACGAGGAAGATTTATTTTTATAGTTCTTTAAAGATGGGAAATAAAACTCATAAAAGTTTACTAAAGGTTATTGAAGAAATAGGTAATCTTAGTCAACTTCCATTTGCCATTTGGTGAAGTAGTTGACATATTAAGACATACAGAAATTATTGTCTAAAGCTCCATTAAAGGTATAGAGGAGGATTTTCAAGAATTTTTGAAAAGACCCTCCCTCTTCACTTTAAAAAAAAATGCACATGCAACAACCCTGTACCCGCTCCCGAGAGGGAATGTCTATTAAACGTGTGCAAGAGCGTGCATGCAGGACGGCCTTACGTAAACATATCACCAGAATCATTGACAATTAAGAGGACCACTTATTTAGATGATTTACTCACAAAAAGAACATCCTCCTCTATACCTTTAACACAGAATTAGTTTTACCTAAGGACCTCATGTATTAAAATAACCCCCCAAGGGGGGGGGTCCTAAATACAACTTGTTGTATTTAGGACATCCAGGACAGATCCACCCTTCCAGGACAGATTTATCATTTTAACATGTAACTTATATGGTGCAAAGAAAGGGAACTAAATTTAGCCAATCCTAAAATTATTCCCTTGTAATTGTGTTCAAGGTTTTTAATTACATGCATTGTCATTCAGCCAAATAAAAATAGCTTCAAATACATCCATCTATTTTCTGACACACTATCCCTGCTGGGGTCGCAAGGGGTGCTGGTGCCTATCCCCAGCTGTCTATGGGCGAGAGGCGGGCTCCACCCTGAAGAGATTGCCTGTCCATTGCAGGGCAACACAGAGACAAACAACCATTCAAACACACTCACACCTAAGGAGAATTTAAAGAAGCCAATTAACCTAACGATCATGTTTTTGGACTGTGGGAGGAAGCTTAAGTACTCAGAGAGAACCCACGCATGCTCAGGGAGAACATGCAAACTCCATGCAGAAAGACCCCAGGTTGGGAATCAAACCCACAACCTTCTTGCTGCAAGGCAGCAGTGCTACCCACTGCTCCTACAGGCAGCCCCTAATCTAACTTACAGAACATTCAGCATTAAACCTAAGAGATACTTGATAACTGGTTGTTATAGCTATCCTCGATGATTGTTCTTTTTGTCTTACTAAAGACTCTAGTGCTATTCAAGTCAGAATTCATATAAAGCGATTAATCAGTAGCGGCCTGGATGTCAGAATAAGATTATACTACTTTAATATTTGGAGAAATATTTATTTTGGATGAAAAAATGTTAACATTTTCTATACAGTAAAATCTGGCTGGTTAGGTTAAGTGTGCAAAACCTAGGTAAGGTAATATATCTGTTCATGCCACAAATTTCTTTTATAGCCGCTGTACTCAGGAAACTCTGAACCCTGAGGATGAGGTGGATGACTTCCTTGGACGAGCCATTGATGCACGAAGCATTGACCAGCTGAGGAAAGATCACGTTAAAAGGTTTCTGCTCACATTTCAGACAGCTGAACTAGAGAAAAAGGTTGGTTTTCCCAGTTTTTTTTAGTAAAAGAGTCATAATTATTTCTTATCAAGCTTGATCATAAAAGTTGTTAAGTTTTAATTTATTTTGATTTTGTGGGGGGATTGGGTTCTCAGTACTCAAAAAAAGTTGATGATCGTCTTGGGAGCTACGTGGCCTGTACCCTCCTTGTGTTCCTTTGCATCTGTTTCATTCAGATGATAATTTTTCCAAAGTAAGTAACCCTTATTGTATTTTGCATATATCATCAATTATTGTCAGGAGATGTTCCCAATTAGATTATGAGCGGTTAGTATGAACTTTACATCCTAATAAGCAGCTTTTTTTCCTCTTCCACAGAACAACACTTATGCTTGGTCTTTACTTTAGCATCCTCATCGTACTTGCCAGCATCCTCTTCGTCTGTGCCATCTATTCCTGCCTCAAAGTAGGAGACCAAGCCTTTCACCACTTCTTCCTGCAGATAGCTCAAGATAAGACTGCTTATTACATGGCATAACTCATAATATTAACTTCCTCTTATCTGATCTTGCTCTCTATATCAAAGTGCTTCCCAGCTGCCTTACAGACACTCACCAAGAAAATAATCCAGTCTCGGACAAACAGTACGCTGGTGGCCGCCTTCACCATCCTCCTCCTCTTCATCTCTTCTTTTGCTAATATGGTAGGCATCATGGGTCTTTGTTGAGTCACACAAACCTGTTATTTCAAAAACTCCAACACTATAAATAAGCAGCTGTGTGGTTTTAGTGTTGGTCTTATTGTCCTTAAAACTGTTAGGCATTTATTTAAATGTGTCTCTAATTCAATTTCTGATACATTCAGGACCGTTCTGGCTTTACAAACTAGATTAGCAGGTGTAAGGGGCTCTGAAATTATGGATATCTGTTTTTAATCATATATACCACTGTAACCGGGGGTAGAATTGGGTCAGGGCCTTTCAGGGATCTGCTCTGACGAATATTCTTTTTCACTATGGTTCTTTAAGCTCAGACTTCAAAGCACGCTGCTTCTCAAACTCTAAGACTAAAAAATAATATGTTTCTAGGATTCACAATAAAAACATCACAAGTTTGATCTAATTTAATTGAAAACATAATAAATAAACTCTTTGGTCCCAATGGGATAGAATAAAGCAGTAGGCCTACAGAGAGTTGGATGAAAATGTCTTAATAAAACAGGTGCTCTGTCCCCCTGTAACGGGGTGGGGATTGCGATAATAGCAGGAAGGAATCAACTTGATTGCTGAATTATAGGTTTTTGAAAGCTGAAATCTGAGGTCAACCCCTCTGTTTAATGTTTGTTTTTCTTTCTTAACATAGATGGCTTCCTTCACACCCCTCTCCAACCACTTATCCTCTCTGTCCAAAATGTGAACATTCAAAACCCCCGCCCCATTACAGGGGGACAGAGCACCTTGCCTCTTCAGCCAGGCCAACAATTCCCTTTAATGACCACACTTTTCAGGGACATAGACAGGTTTCGGGTATTATAGGCTAAGAAAGAAACAAAATGACCCCCATTCTCCCGCTCGTCAGGTTCAGTCTGCATGTTTCTAAGTCAAAACAAGGCTTTGCTTTGTTCCACTATACAAAGCCTTGAACTCAACAGTATATCTGACGTTTTAAATTGAAAAAGCTTCCTGGATGGGAAGGGAAATGTCTTCAAGTTTGGAAACAAAGTCCAGTGGTTTTTTTTTTTAGTTTTTTGGTTCTAAAAGGGCAGAATTAGACAGGAAGCACACAGAGAGGCGGGTGAAAATGTCTTGAATATAAAATATGGGGCTTTAGTAAAATACTAAGACCTTAACTTCATCTTAGCTCACTTTAATAACTTTAATAATCTTGTAACTTAAATTAAGTATTCAAGAAAGGTTTAATCCACTAGTAATCAAATTAGACTGATGTACGTTCAAAATAAGCAGTAAAGCAAATAAGCCTTCCTGCTTTATCTGACAGATGAAAATAATCTAAGTTATTATCTATGACACTTTTGTTATGTTCTTTGCAGACTAACAAGAGAGTGAGCTTGGAGACACATTTTATTATCAGCTTTACACTTGTTGTATTTAGAATGATCTTTATTGGTTTTCAGAACAGACACACCTCTGACTTTGATTTATTTTCAGCTTGTCAGATAATATTAATTATCTTTGTATGCTGTCCAATGAAACACTTCTATCGTAAACCACAAAGCTCCCTAACTCTCCGCACCTCACGTGCTCACAAACAAACACACACTGAAACTCACACATTATGTTCCTAATTTTAACACACAATGATATCATGAGTTTTCTATTTTTAGTTTTTTTTTTTTTTGTTTTTTTAGGAAGCCATGTTTGTATGTACAGTTTATGGCCATGGATAAAAATGGTTTTGCTTTGTATTTTCTAATCAATGTTTATAATCAATAAAATTACCAGAATATCTATGATATCTAAGTCTGATTAGTATGCCTGATTAGTCTGCTTTTTATGCTTATTAACAGAGTAAGACACTAAAGTAATTTATTGAACAATTTTTACTGAATAACAAAATAGGTGCAAGGACTGGCCATCACATATCTTTATGAATACTTTAAGGAAGTTTTTATTGAGTTATAATGATTAGCAAATAACTCCTACTTTTGTTCTGAGGGATAACTACAGTACTTAAGACCTCTACTTTTGCCTACTTTTGTCTACTGAATGCCAAATCATTAGATTTTGAGTAGAAAGATGCTGTCGACTCCTTTTTGTCTGATTTTGATGCAGTTTTTGTTTTTAAATTATTTTTCTCCTCAAAATAGTTTTTAGGTCATAATGTGAATGACTCACAAGTGATAGTCAAATCATTACATTAAACTTGACCAATTATGAATATTTTTATTCCATTTTAATTCATTTACTTTCGTTAACCTTTAAAATGGAGAAAACCAACATTTATTTTCATTCTCCATTAGAAGAAAATAATTAAATTTATTGTTAGCACCTAGGAAACCACCTCTACCAAGAGTAAAACTGCTGTCATTCTCATCCCTGGTTAAGCCAAAAGCAAAGTCAGATGCAGTTACCTCGTTTTAACCTTAAGACGGCACCATGCAGACAAAAGAGCTGGATTTCAACAAATGTGGAGAATAATGTTAAGATAAGGTCCGGGACATGTAGACAACACTATTAGAAATCTATTTATAACGTTAATCAGGGGGAGTCTGAGCCCCACTCCCACAGACTGTCACTCTGGGTCCCATATTGTTCCCCGGGCGCCTCACGATGGCAGCCCACTGCTCCCCAAGGGGATGGGTTCAATGCAGAGGTAAATTTAAATAAAGTTAACTTGAATTAATCAATAAAAAAAAAAAAAAGTTGATTCAGGGTTAAGTATTTCCCTTAAATGAACCAGTAATATTTAAAATTGAATGTATTGTTAATTTATATTTACTGTTCTTCAATTAAATAGAATTAAGGAAAAAACAAATTTGATTTACTTTTTTGATGTCCAACTATTTAATTTTTACATATCTAAGCTTTTATCTGTACTTGTCTCTACATGCTCTGTATTAAAGATAAATTGTGGAGGAAAGCTTGAACATGGGACCACTACTGATACATAACCTAAAACTCACCTCAAATAAATGTGTACATTGATATTAAACACTGAGTATTTTCATCCAGTGCTTCCTGACCTATAAGCTATTCATTTTACTAACTTAAATGCTGAAAGAAGAAAAATCTTATTGTTCATGTTCCTCCTTTAAAAGATAAATGTCTTCTGTCTTTGCCAGTTTACCTGCAGTAGAGAGAAACTGCAGGATTGTGTATCAAAAGAACTGAACACAACAATGACTGTCTGCCTGCTGCACAACCTCACCAGAACAGCAGAGGATGGTCTGACTCTGTGCTCCACTCAGGCAATGCAGTGCCATTTCCCTGAGGTTGGTCTACACTCAGGATGAGTTCAAATGTTTGTTAATAAAATTTTGAGGTTTAAATTGAGTGTAAATATCTGGCTAAAGCGCTCCTCCTTTTCTCTTACTGTCCTCTGCAGTACTTCGGCTACAGCGTACTGCTGGCCCTGCTGGCCTGCTCTGTGTTCCTGCACATCAGCAGCATCGGGAAGCTGGCTCTGATGCTGCTCATCCAGCTTATTTTCCTCCTGCTGGTGGAGTGGCCTCAGGCGACCCTGTTTGACAACGCTGACCTCCTGGTCGTTGCCAACACTCTGTAAGTCTGTCACTAGATTCCTAAGCAAGCTCATTCAAACAATTTTTACTTAAACAGTTCAACTTGTGTCACTACAACACAGTGTTGTTCTGAATCAACCTACTTTCTTTTTTTTTTCAAAGGTTTTGAATGTAGTAGACCTATTTTTGTCTGCTGGGTCCTATTTCTGAATATGTTCTCATTTTAACCACAGGCAATTACCACCTGTTAACGATTCCCTGCAACAGTAAGATGCCTTTTGTGTTTTGCTCTTTTGTATTTAAGTAGGCTCCTGTATTTGTTGGGTTTACACTCTCTCTTGTCCTTTTCCAGATCTGGTTTCAATGAAACAGCAGAACACTGGTAAGAAGCTTCCATCTGTGGAAAATTCACTGTGCCAGTCAGAAGTTTACATACAGCAACATCATTGTTATAGTATAATCCTGACAGTGGCACAAAAATAGCCTGATGCTACTTTGACCATCCCAGGCAGTTCTTTAAGGGCCCTTAGGTTTGAAAGCCTCACATTGACTCCTACCAGCATTTTTCTTGTGAGATGGTTCCATAGCATAATACTGCAACAACCATGTATGACAGTTACTGTAATCTATTTTAAAGCTTCTGCTTTCAGTTTTTTTCAATAATCTTGACATGATTTTTGCTCATGGCAAAAAAATCCTAATTTATCTGAAACTTGCTTCAAAAAATGCAAGAGAATATTGTGCAATTGAACTTGTTGTTTGATTTAAACCACATGCAGAATATTTACAACCAGGACCACAATCGTTCAAATGCAGCCCTGAAAGCCTAAAATCACAGCTATTTATGCATGTGATAGATTAATGTGAAGTTTTGACAGGCATCTCACATTTTGGAAAATAATTATTTGATCATTGTGTTAATTTTTCAGCCTGGAGAATGTTCCCAAGGTGCCCCTGAGGGTCATGATCCCGATAATCCTTTTGGTTTTTGTTCTGGCTCTCTATTTGCACGGGCAACAGGTGGAGTCTACTGCACGTCTCGATTTCCTCTGGAAGCTGCAGGTAAATTACTTTCACTTATCACTGAAAGCAGAAGCAACATTTTTTCCCAAGCCTGCAAAGGTCTTGTTTTCACCACAGATGTTTTGCCTCTATGTAGAACAGAGCTAAAGGTTAGTTATGAACGATGTGTTTATGTGTCAGAAGGTTCACAACTGAAACTAGGGGAAATTTAAGCTCATCATAAGTTTTTAGTCAAGCCTCTGTAATCTGTTAAAATATCCTAAACAATCAAATGAAGACATAGGAAGGTTTTGATTTCTCATCTGTCTCTCCTCAGGCCACAGATGAAAAGGAGGAGATGGAAGAGTTGCAGGCGTATAACCGGCGCCTGCTGCACAACATCCTACCCAAGGACGTGGCTGCCCACTTTCTGGCAAGGGAGCGACGGAATGATGAGTTGTACTATCAGTCGTGTGAGTGCGTTGCTGTTATGTTTGCCTCTATCAGCAACTTCTCTGAGTTTTACGTGGAGTTAGAAGCAAACAACGAGGGGGTGGAGTGTCTCCGGCTGCTTAACGAGATCATCGCCGACTTTGACGAGGTAAATATGAACCAAGTTGTGCAACCAAATCATGCTAAAAAACAGGATTTAATCCTAATGACTGCAAGAACTTTGCTATCTTTTATTTTTATTGACCTCTTTGCATGTTCTAGTAAACTTTAAGCAATAGCCTGTTTCCTCTCCTCATGTATGCTTTGAAACCCATCTCCAGATAATCAGTGAAGAAAGGTTCCGACAGCTGGAGAAAATCAAAACCATTGGCTCCACCTACATGGCAGCCTCTGGGCTCAATGACACCACCTACGACAGAGAGGGCCGTTCACACATCCTGGCTCTGGCTGACTATGCCATGAGGCTTAGAGAGCAAATGAAGTACATCAATGAGCATTCCTTCAATAACTTCCAGATGAAGATAGGTAAAGTTAGAAACTGGAGGAAATTACTCCAGAAAAATCACTTGATATATATTTTTTTTATTAAATTTGCTGCAGGAAACTTGTTGAAAAACTAGTTTGTCAGAAGCAACTTTAATATAATGTTTGGTTAATCACTAACTGGATGATTCCTTCGCAGGGTTGAACATGGGGCCAGTTGTGGCCGGTGTGATTGGAGCCAGGAAACCCCAGTATGACATCTGGGGAAACACTGTCAATGTGGCCAGCCGAATGGACAGCACAGGAGTACCGGACTTCATCCAGGTACATCAGCACTAGACTGTCTTCAGAAACCACTCCAGCTAATTTTATGCCACAACTATTCTATGGTTTTAGTTTTGTTTGGATCATTTGCACTTTAAAGACAGGATAAAATGACAAAATTCCAAAAGAAAAAAGTGTTGATGAAAATACCCTATTTCTTTATAATAGTTGTCACCATGTCCACATTAAGATTCATGAGAAAATGCCAATAAGGCGACTCAGTCTTAAATGACGAACAAGGCAGACTTAGACTTAATTATATTATAATCAACTCTAATAAGATTCCTAAAAACTAACTTTAGATTACAGGAAAACAGTTTTCTTTGGGTGTTGGGGGCTGACTTAAAAAGTTAGGTGTTCTCTTCCAGCTCTCTACCCTGACATATTTTTCTGAAGTCTTGGGAAAGTGACTTAAACCCAAGTTGCCTACCAGTATCTGTATACATTTAAGACAGCATGATTGGAAAAGTGCTATATAAGTTCAGTCTGCTAAAATGCTCTGACCACTCATAACCTAAAACATTATTCAATGAATATAAACAAGCACTCCTAAAGTGCCTCAAGGTTACATTGGGTGTTAATGGTTCTTTATAAAAAGGGTAAAAAGATACATACAGTTTTGAGTAAACTTGCATCTTTTCCAACAGTTTCCTGTTGAGCAGATTGTGTCTGTGCTTGGCTAATATTTACTACACATTTCATTATGTCTTGTCAATAGTTTTGTTTTTTAACATATTTCAGTACAGTTAATTGCGTGCTTACAACACTTGCAGAAAAAGTAGTTCTCCTGCTTCAATATCTTTCTTTAGATAAGTCTTTAAATCTGTTGCTCTTGGAGCTGTGTGTGGATCCATGGACACATCTGTCAGAGATCAATGCTTAGATGATTAGATGGTAAGTAATTAGTGAAAGAGTTAGCAAACTTATCCTAGCAATCTTGGGATAAATTCCTAAAGGAGACAGGTCATAATTACAACTGGATTCTGGTTTTCCATGATCCTCCCTTGCATTAGTGCCCTCAACCCCTTTTAATCTAAATTCAGGGAGTGTCTAAAATATTCCACCGAGAAAAGAGAAACTATTTAAAAAAAACATGACCATTTTTTTTTTCTAATTTCCATAATGTAAACATCTGGGACGTGGCCATATGTGGTGATGTAAACAGTTATCAAACAGCAGACTTTGTTTTAATGCTGGGTAAAGAAGTAAAATCTGAAGCCTAATGTACCCCACTGATTATTAAAGATGTTTTACAGTATAAAAGATGTTTTCACATCAGACTTTACCAAACTTTAATAATTCTTTAATAAATTCTAATCTTAAAGCTTAAAGATGGCTATTAGTATGGTTAAATGATGAATTACTCCTATAGAATACTACTGTAATAAGTTAGTATGATAAAGTTTAACATGTTGTAGGCCTACATCAGAATGCATCAAACCGACAAACAAAGGTGTAATCTATTGCAGCAATTTATTTTGACCATATAACACATCTCTAATTATAAACTGGGATTCAGCCTAATTTAAAAACTTGGACTTTAAGTCTTAAAGAGGTAAATTAAATAGGCTTTAATAAATCACTGAGTTCCACTGTTTCTGAATTACTGTTAAAAAGTTTATTAATTTCTCTGATAAAAAAGAACAACACAGGTCTTAAAATACACTGTAAATATAAGCAGTTTTGGTTCAAGTTGAAAGCAATATTATTTTAAAGCCTGAGTTAAGTTTCAAGTGTTTTTCTGGCTTCATAATTTCTAAAGTCACAAATGTGTGTTATATGACAGAAGTCCACACCACTGGCATAAGGCTGGGCTCTGAAGGTTGCTCCAAAACAAATGTGGGTCACATGTGCTCATTCATATGCAAATCATTATGAAAATTACATCTACCTTAGTTTTTGTTTTTTTGTTTTCCTAACACAAGACTTGCTTGCGGAATTAATAGAGTTTATGATCAATGTGAACAACTCAGAGCAGAGAACAATATCTGCTAAAAAAAATGTGAGGCATTTGCAACAGTGTCATCTTGCAAGAATCCCAGTTAGTGCCAGAGAGGCCGTGTTCCAGCAGATATGCTCCTCTGATGTCCCTTTGGGAGCAGGCAGAAAGCTAAATTTAAATTTCCCCTGGAGACAAAGCCTCTGCCGTGGACCGGGATCAACGTCATAATCATTAACATATAGCAGATGTTGAGACATAACCTCAAACGTTTCATGGACATGGAGAGCTGAAGACTGCAGTGGATTAGTTAAAGGAAAGAGCATTGCTACCATCTGTAGGAGAGTTTGTGCTACTGCAGGTATTAAATGTTCATGAAAGTCCACTGCTAAAAGAAAAGAAAATCTCATTAAAAAAATATAACTGGCTATTCCCTAATAACATCCTTAGATTTCGTCCAGGGAGAAAACCAAAAGAATTATCCCCAAATAGGTGGAAACCATCCATCTGTTTTTGTTATATTGAATTCAAAAAGTGTGTAATTATTTAATCATTATTTGTGATTAAGCAACAATAATTAAAGGTTTCAGAAATAAATGCAAACAATCCATTTGAAAATGTATGCATAAATATTATTTTCAGCATCTTAAAAAAATACAACTAAAACCTCTTCACAAAACTACATTTATTAGGCTTTCATGTAATAGAAAAACCCAAAGTGAAGTACCACTCTAAAGGGAAGGACACCGGAACTTTAAAAATGTATACATAAAAAGATTTAAATAAAGGGGTGGATTTGTGCCAAACCAATGTTACTGGGAAAAAAAATCAATTAACGTTAGAAGTTGCATAATTAGTAAATAGAATCCACCTGAGTAATTTAATGTCAGTATAAATCCATCTGCTCTGTGAAGACCTCAGAGATTTGTTTGTAAAGGCTAGAGAACAAGGCCAAGGATTACAGGTAAAAAGGAAGTTTTGTAGACTTTATTGCAAAGTTAGGATAAAAAACAAACTCTATAAACATTCAAACATCTCACAGAGCTCTGTTCAAATCATTATCTAAACATGGACGGACTATTGGATAAACGTAGATTTACTGTGACATGGCTGTCCACCAAACCCAGGGTTCTGCCCATGTTCAATCCTTGAAAAAAATGTTGATGCATCCCCTCTCTAATAAATCACATGGTTATGAGCAATTTAGGTGTGTTAAAAAAGGAATGCATCTAAAATTTGCTGGTTAGCATGTCTCAGCGACAGGATTTGGGATCCCTTGACCTAAACTGACAGGTCAGAGTAGAAGAGCATAATCTGGAGAACCAGTCAATAGTAACTCAGAAAGAGTGGCATAGATCCACATGCTCTTAAAGTTGCACATCTAAAATAAGTTTTCCTCTATTAATTGTAGTGTCTATAGGCTTCTTTAGTCAATCAAGGGGAGACTGATTTTTTTGTGTTCTCTGGGCATGCAAGTTGTTATGAGGCGCTGCATGCTTCTGTTCATCTCCCTACATTGTTGAGTCTCCATCGCCATTGACGCACTAGCGAGAGAACAAGGATGACTGTTTTAGAACATGGACCAGCCACTAGTGCATGTCACACCCCATCAATGACTTCACACAGGAGGAGTGAATTGTTGAGCCAAAAAGGACAACATTTGATTCTGATCAGTGTGGGAATAGATTAAAGTAAATGATGTGGCAGCTTCTAACAAACAGAGGGAGGTAAAATTTGCTCTGGTAATTAATCTAAATGTTTAAAACATTTTACCTCAGAAGACATCAGAAGACATTACGCCTCTGAAAAATAGGTCTGTGTAATCGCAACAACAGACTGCAATGCTTTCCTTTTCTTGCATGCATGTGCATAGCTCTGGTGTCCCCATAGGGGCAACAAACATCTGGGACTTGCACTGTTCTCTTTTCCTGTTTAATTTTTTCCAAAAATCATTAGGAGATGCAAAAAAAAAAAACTAGTGTAATAAGTTTTGCTGGTCAGGTGAAACAATAATTTACATTTTTTGGTGGATGAAGAACTAGCATTCCTTATTAACATCCATCATGCGTCATCCTCTGGTGATATTGGTGGTGGCAGAATAATGCTGTGGGAAGGTTTTTCTTAGCAAAAGATCAAAGTCATTGAAAAGATGAATAAAGGAGAAACCATGGAAGGTTGCAAAATACTTGATATTCGCTTTGAAGCATAGTATAGAATACAGCTGATTCACAGGGGGCGGTCTACATTATAAAGATTGTGAGGCCAGTTTTGGGCTTTTATTGTAGTCAAAAATTGTCCAAAAAAGATGTTCTTAGTACTGAAAATTATTTTCTGATACAGAAAAAACATACATATTTCAGCTTCTAGAGATACAAAGCTGCCACAGCATATTGACAAATGGAGCTGAATGCATGCCACACTTTTCAGAGTTAAGTATTGCAAATTAATTAAATTATTTTTAATATTTTACAGTTATGATCACCTTTCAATTAGTCTATTAAATAAAGATCATTTTACTTTTCTCCGTAATAACATAAAAAAGTCTAAAATCTTCCTGTGGTTGAATACTTCTGTATTGTGCTGTAGCTCCCTCATATTGCTGCTGAAAGATTTTTCAGAATGAAAACCGGACTTTGTTTTCCTTCCATACTTACATACCCTGTGTCAAATATTCATGTCTCCTCCAAGGTGACCACAGACTTGTACCATGTGCTGGCCAACAACGGATACCAGCTGGACTGCCGAGGTGTCGTCAAGGTGAAAGGGAAGGGCGAGATGACCACTTACTTCCTCACCAGTGGTCCCCCAGGCAGTTAACAACAGAGGCAGCCGGTGACACACGGTGACTCCCACTGTGCTGAAACTGCAGAGAGACTGAGAGCTCAGCTCGGCGGTGAGCAGTGGGGACAGGACACGGTCATCGGAGAGACTAATCTCAGATTGAGAGCTTTGTCCTGAGATGCCCGATAGAGGATGAATTCCAGATGCCTTAGAAAGGAAGCAGCTCTGCTGGTGTTTAGCAATAGTACCTGTCTACCATCTGAAGTTAATATTTATTTGCAGAGAAACTAAGTAATCTTTCTTAAAAGAAAATATGCAAGGACAACATGAAGGAGAATAACCAAAGAACAAATCTCTGATGATTCCGTTCAACACTATAATAAATGACATAAGCTATATTGTTCCTCTTTTAAAGAGGGTAAAGGCTGTGTTAACTTCTCCAAACTCTTCTTAGCAAAGGAGAACACAAACGCACAGATATGGAGAAGAAACACAAACTGTAACATTGGCTCCAACCTTTGAGTTTCTTTTCAGGGCTTTCTTCATTCCCTCAAGCCTGCTATTTGACACAAGGCTGTTTGTGTTCCACTGAGCCCTCAGAGGCAGCAGGCGAAAGGAAGAAAACTGAGGAGAAACGGTTTGCGTTACAGAAGAAGCTCTGAAGATGGATCCTAAAACACTAAAAGCATTTTTCTCAAGTTGAGTACGAGTCCTGTGTGTACGAGTGTTAGCTCAAGCGTAATTTGTAAAGGGGCAAGCATAAAACTTTTCACTGTGAGATTTCTAAGATACTGTACGACGACGCTTTCTTGCCAAACTGGTTGCCGCAAGACATGTTTATTTTTTCATTGTTTTTTTCCACCGTAGTTTGTGCCATTCCTAATTTTTTTTGTGTGTGTGTCAAAATCTTTTGAAGATGATTATGTCCCACTGCGCCTTTGCCAGACTGTGATTTATGACTGATTTCATTCCAAATGAAATAAGCTTGTTGTCTTTTTGAGGACTGTTAAAAGTAAAATGATTTCTATAGAACTTCAGGAATTATTTGTACGCAGAAGTTTGCCTTCTTCTGTATTGCCTTGAAAATCCTCAGCACTAATGTCCGCATACTTCATGGCTGAATATTCACCTCTGTACAAGGCAGTATTTGACACTAACGTTTAGTATAAGCGCCCTAAAAAGAAGTGTTGTTGAATACAATAATCAAATGAATGTATGCAATGATGTAGATTTTTGTCTACAGCTAGTAGATTCTCATACTAGAAACCCAACAGTTTAGATGATATATTTTATATTTTTTAATGCTTTATACTCTGTTGACATGTTTCTGGAGGCATCAAAAGGAAGGAAAACATCACATTCACTTGTTGCTCTCTGTCCCTAATGAAAATTCAAGTAAACATTGTCTCATCCTCTACTAGTGCAATTACAAATAGAGTTGGTTTTCCCTAGAATAAGAAATCAATAAATTACTTCTTTTTTCATTCCTGTGTCTCCCACTTTATTTATCTACATACTGAAAACTACAAGAAAAAAGCAACAACTCTTATTTCACAAACAGAGCTACATTAATCTGTGTAAAATGCGTCTTGTAAAGTCATCTTTTACTGATGATGTGTTGCTTCCCAGTACCAAATGTGTGTTGCTTTAAAGTCTGAAATCCATAAAGTCAACATAGTTGAGCATCATAGTGTTACCAATAAAACTAGAAAAATTCAGCATTTAGTTGAGTAAACTAATTAATTGGGAAGAAAATATTGCACATATTTGGTTAATAACTATACCAGTAACTATTAATTTAATTTAGCTAAGTTTTAAGTTGATGAAAGTGTTGATCTTGACTTGAACAATCATATATTAAAAGTTTATTTTGTGAGTTTTGTTGGAAAATTTCTCCACTTTAATCTCCATTGAAAGGTTCTGCTAAAAATAAAAAAATAGTCCAGGCTGAAGGTTATTCAGTAGTTGTATAACATATCTACCAATTTAAGAACTACCCCTTATTAAACTATGCTTAGAAGATATTCCTCACTGGAGTGAGAGTGTTGTATTTTCACAAGCAAAGAAAATGTCAGCTGTTCATTTCATTGGAAGATGTGTTTTGGTCCAAGATGATTGTACTGAAAATTTTAAAAAGTAGACATTTTCATAGGCCGAAACTTTCATATTAACATTAAAAAAAAAAAAGAATGAAAATAAGAAGTTACAAATAAAAGAAAATTACATAATTTCACATATTTTTAAACAATTGGTTGCTTAGCATCTGGTGCTAACTGGGGGCACTATTCCATTTTTTTTGTTTCTTTTGTTTTAAAAAAAAAAGCTTGCACAGTCTTTACATTTGCACTGACAATTAACATATCCTTATGATTTGATTTTAAAATAGTTTAATTGACTAAATTAATTACGGTTATAATTTTAAACAATCAGTTCTTTTTGAGGATTCCTTGATATAATAAACAGCACATGGCACTAGTCTGTTTCTGTGCATCACTACAGTACATGTAATGCTGAACAACACTAACTTGATCATGTCAGCACTACATACAGTAAGTAAGATAAGAAATATAAATTAATCAAATCAAATCTCCAAAACTTAATGTTGGAGACTGGGCTAAAGAAGGATATTTTGAGGTTAGTCTCCATCATCAGCTGAACATATCCTTACAGGTAATTGTTCATTAAGAGGATGCTAGGAAAAAATGAAGCTTTTTTTCCTCTTCTACCATCACAATCAAAGTGTTTTAAATTTTTTTTGTCTGGCTTACGTCCGACTGCTCAGATTTTATTAATATAACAAACTGTCCAGGTGGGTATGGTGTGAAGGGAATAAGACATTATACCCACTGTTAACTATAGTGGAGGATTAGTGATGCTGTGGGTCTGTTCCTCTTCCAAAGCCCCTGGGGAACTTCTCTGAATCTGTAGGACATAAAAAAAATGTCTTTTCTCAGATTCTTTCATCAGCATCCCCCATCAAAATAAAAGGCCGAATAAAAACAGACATGGAGGCAAAATGAACCTCCTTCTATTTTAATGCCAATGAATTTGAAGAGTGCTGTAACATTGTTCTTCTCAGTGGTGTTCTGTTATCTCTTATCAGCAACCTGCAATCAAGACTGCACCGTGTGACAGTAACCTGAGAGAAACATCCATCTCCTTTCCTGAATAAGACGGTCTACAGTTTCAAGAGTGTGATACAGAAGAGAGTATTTAATTGCTTACACATGAATAATACATTTATATTGAACTTTTTGTAGTGTTCACTTACAGCACTCTATGGTGAACATTAATTAAGTGACAAAAATTCCTCCTAATCCCTGGTGAAAAAGCACCAATGTTACTCTGATAGTGACATGACAGAGCAACACGAGTTCTATTGTATTATAGTCACAGGTGTTAAAACATATGCAAATGGAGTATTACTTCAGTGATGTTTGACCTTTGTACAGTCTTTCAGCAACTTTTCACGTTGCAACCAAGGCTAGTTTAAATATATCTTATGTTTTTATGTGGGATTCATGGTTTTCAACATTGTTTACCAATACCGATCTGAAAACGGTTGTACGGAAAACATTTGTATTTTTCCTCCTTGATCCGATGCTTTAATAAGATATTTAGGTTCAAGTCTGGACAGTTCAATGCTTGAATGCACTTTAATCTTCACTATTTATTTGAAGTAATGGCCATAAGTTTAGATCCACCCAGGCTGAAACATCTGCAGCTTTAAACTGGTTTGGTTCCAGGATTGACCAGAATGTTCCTCGAAGCACCATTTGTCAGCTCTTAACCCTCTCCGGGCAGATGTTGCAGTTTGCAACAGCTAAATGCCACTTAGATAATTACTCCACATCCATATTTTAAGAGCTTTTGTTACTCAGAAGTACAACAGTTCAGACTTAGTTGTGCATTTGCAACAAACAGTTTCCATCCAGCTAACCAGGTGGCACTGCTGACTCACTTTCAACATGGCTGAGTCCTTGGTGTTACTGAAACAGATTTTCTAAGCACCAATTTCATGTAAGTATCACTACCAATTTCCATTATTTTGAAATCAATACTACATAAGATGAATCATGAATGTTTATAGGTATGACACATGCCAATTAGATTCTATCTCCTCTGGGTTTTTCACCAGAGGCATCTCGATTTCAATGTTGTGGATTCGCAATGTGTGCCCAAACAGGTATTAATGGATGCTACATGCTTTATCTACTAGTTTGCCTATATTTAGAGCAACAGTTTAACAGAAACGGCCTCCTCAAGAAGTTTTGAGATGTCGGTGGAGAAGAAGTTTGAGAAAAAGTTGTCTCTAATTTTGTGAGACAAAATTTTTTTTTTGAATTTCGTTTTGTTAATTTTTTGTTTGTGACATTCAAATAAAGTTAACGTTCATATCAGATTCAGTCTTCATTGTTAATTTACCACTCCGGGCCACTGTTGCAAATCTGCAACATCCCAGAATTCATTGCATGTGAAGATCTCTCTCAAAAAAAGGTCTGATATGTATATTACTACCCATTTGATCATTTTCTCCAAATATCAGATTTTTCCTGCAACTACAACTTAATTTGAGCCTGAGAGGGTTAAAACCAAGCCCACATCATGATGCTGCTATCACTATATCTTACTGTGGTGATTCAATGTTAAGTGCAATGTGTTGTGTTGCTTTTTCTTCTCTAACTAGCATGTTGGCTAGAAACTTAGTCTTCTATGTGTTTGCTACGTGCCCTACAGGCATTGCGCCACTCTGCAAAAAGGTCCTCCTCATTTTTGAAGAGGGGCCTGCCTCGAGTTTATTTGTAAACAACTTTCAACTATTACCAAGACTTTAAACTGCATAGATGGAGCTGCATTTAAATTTGAGCTTACTTCTGAAGGCCATGAAAAGCGTTGACTTAAGGGTATTGGAATAAAGGGGCTCGATAGAAAGGCAGGGAGCACTTTGTTTCTCTTTATAATAGATACTGAAAATGATACACCAAATTCCTTCCACTTCATGATTATGCCTTGAATATCATTTAGAATTGCACACTGATCTTGTTCTGCCCTGCCTCACCTGTTCTGCTCTTATTCCTGCTCTAGAGAACCTTTTTCCATATAAGACTTCTGTTTGAGCCTGAAATTCTGCTCCAGACTTGGATCCAGATGGAGCTTCTCCTGCAGACCTGGGTGCTGCTCTGACAGGACTCCCACCTCATTCTGGGTTCCTTCTTCAAGGTTAATTTCTGCACACTTTTTCTTTACTTTCTTTAAATAAAAACTGTAAATAGTCGATTTGCCATTTTTCATTTCCAGTAGCCACTGAGAGTCTATGAACAGTGAAATTTTGAAACACCCCTCAATTTTTTTTGTAAACCACATTCTTCAATTAGTGTTAGGTTCTGCTTGTTTGTCTTCATTTGCTTATACAAACTTGTGTATTTTTGTTTTAATCCCTGACTTTCCTGGGACAATCTTTTACAAATAGTCAGTAAATGCATTTTTTTTTCTTTTTGTTCTTTTAGTGCCTGGCTATAAAAACTGCTGAAATAAAAGCTTGACAGACAGAAGAATTGATTTTAACAAGGTCTTTGTCAACCAAACTTAATTTTTTAGTACTTTAAAAAAAAGCCAGAGAAAACAGAATTCAATTCAAGTAAAAATCTTGATATGAATATACTGATATTGATATGATAAAAAAGACAATATAATAGATAAATGAAATCTGCAAAAACAAATAGGCCTACAGTTTTAAAGCTGAAAATTTTGCTTTTTGGACTTGAACCTTCTTCTTTATGCTTACAGATTTCGCAATGACTGGATTTCTTTTTCCTTCATTTTTTTTAGTGGTGCTGGTGGCCTTAAATTGGAAAGTGCACTGACAGGAAATGGGTTGAAGAAAGGGGGAATAAGTGATGCAAGGTCTCTATGGGTTATATTTCAAATCAGGGACAGCTGCACCAAGGATTTTCATACATGGGTTGCATGTGCTACAGTGTTCAAACGTCCAGCAGAACTTGTCAATTTCAAGAATTATAAAGAAAATCGAAAATCTTTTGGCCAAACCTGAAAGAAAAACAATGGAAGACCTCTAGAAAGCTTTTCAAATCTATTGTTAAAAATGTTTGTTAAACGTTTGCTATAGCAGGCCGGTTAAAAACCATTTGGAACACTTTATGTTTACAACACTGAGGAGAATATTTCACTTCCTTTGTTTAGATTCATATGTCTTCTTGGTGCAAGGGTTTTTTGAAATTTAAAAGAGAACCCATCTTTCCTCAAAGCATAAAAAGTAAGTCAAAACTATGACTGAGATGTAATCTCATGGAAAGCAATGTTACAAAACACAGGTAACATGGAAATGTTTAAAACCTGTTGGTGTGCTGAAGCACTCAGAGTTCCCTTTACTGGAAGAAGCAAGCAAGTGTTAACCTGGCATAAGCCAAATGAATACTATGTAGAATTCAAATTAATATATTTAACTGATAAATCAAATTTCTACCAAATACAGTCAAGAACACGCAAATATCTTCCCATCTACAAAGGCAAAAACTATGTGCTCTTTTTTTTTATTTTTCAAAAAGAAATATAGGGTATTCCAGCTAAACTGTCTTTGTCTTGCTTCAGCCTTCCACGTTGACTGTTTACATGTCTCACATTACGTCATAAACGTCACTGGATTTCACTGGCCTTAAACATTTCTGTACTGAGGCAAATGCATCTGTTGGTTTCTAGCAAGATAGATTATTAGATGTTTGTGAATTCAAAAATATTGCAACAATTCATCTGACTTGCAAGGTAGGCCAAGCTCAAACCCACAGCATAATCCCCCCTCCACCAGGTTTTACACTTGGAACAATACAGACAGACAAGTATTGTTTTCCTGACAATCCCCACACCCAGAAGTGACCATCTGTTTTCCAGATGGAGAAGCTCATTCATCCCTCCAGAGGACTCACCTGTTTAACACCAGTGCATCCGATGCCTATGCCAGGCATTGCATTTGATGATGTATGGTTTGAATACAGCTGCTTGGCCATGGAGATCCTACTAAGCTCTCTAAGAACTGTTCTTCAATTAATCTGAAGGCCACAGGAATTTTAGAAGTTTATAGTGGTTAAAAGTTGTCAACCTCTGAGAATGAATGAACGTCATCATCTGCTGCCCTCTCTCTGTCAGTCTATGTGATTTACATCTTCCTGGCTAAGTTGCTATCTTTTTTTACCACTTTATTTTAATACGACTAACAATTTATATTTAGGATCAAGAAGACGTTTTACATTACAGCGTAAGAATAACTTTATTTAGGTTGCTACTTGACTGAATTGCTGTACAGCTGGTCCAAATAAAGAAAATCAACCAGTTTCTAATTATAATCTGTTGCTTTAAACAGAATTTAACACTGAAATAAAATGAAGTGTTATACATTGAATGTTTAAATAAAATAATAAAAAGAAATTTTTTCCATTTTAAAATCTAAAGAGTTTTTTGAATTAGAGAACAACAATCATTCAGTTTGGTATATAGGCAATTTCCTGATTCACATATTTCAAAAACACCTGAACTGACTGTTTTTTGTTTTTTTCTTTCTTTTTTATGGCTTAATGAGAGCAGTGGGCTTTAGGCTGACCTGAAAGGCTTTAAACCTGGGTTTGATTGGCAAAAAAGCCATTCTCAAACACATATCAAGGTGCTCATTGATGAGCCTGGATTGATATTTATTTTTGATTATGGTCATGGTGGGGAATCCTGCTTCACATAGTAGGTTGAGCCAAACATACCCAAAATGTGAAGGGTCATCTTTGAGCACTTTTCTTCCAGCAGTCCACACTTTCTCTCCTTCTTTCCCATCGCCTAGCTTGCCACAGCTTTGCCTGCTGTGTCTAAAAGTAGCTAGCAGCAGCAACCCAGACTGACAGCAGTTCATTGGTAATTTGTATCACGTGTAAACCTGGAAGGCTTTACCATGTTAACATGAGAAGCAGGGCAAGTGAAGTTAGGCACTGTCATCTGACAACATACGGTAACTTATAAATGTTGTAAATCAGTCAAGATTACCCAGCAGGAGGGACAAAATAAAAAAACAGTTTCTAAGAAAATAAATTTCAACAAAGAAATACTAGTACTTATACTTTATGTGCTGAGTACTTGGCTCTTTTAGTATAAATCAGTGTGGTGTGCAAGTCAGTCAGTCTGTGGTTCTTTTAAAGTATTCAAAAAAGCACAGACTACTTTAATAGCTACCTGTAGCATGTCTGCATTGTTGGCTTGTTGACAATATTCCACAGATTGTATTATTAAGACATGGTTCAAACAGGTTAAAGTTTAGCAAAGAGAGACATAAAGTGCTCAATAAATCCTTGACAGCTTTGCTGACTTTAGATATGACAAAACACCTGAGACCAGCATCAGCAAATGACCTGGTTTCACAAATCATCACTGTCTATTGAAACTTTTCACTGGACCCAATTCACTAACAGCAAAATTCCTTCTATCAGAAAAGAGGATTTTGGGTCTATATACCTTGGGCAACAGTCTGTTTCTGTCCTTGTGCAGGGTATAACACTTGTGACATTAGAACAGATTCCATTACAAAATTCTGTCGATATTCTGCAAAAAAACCTTTACAAGTTCAGCTTTTTCACTGAAGAACAAAATAAAAATTTAATGTGAACACGTTTTTTCTCACGTGATAACTCTGAAAACATACATAATGGCAGCGGCGATGTGAACACATGAGATATATCCATTTTTTAGCTGCGACTCGCGTTGGCGCTGTCAGTCCTGTCAGTCTTCCAGTCTTCTTCTTTGCCTTTTCACAAGGCAGAAATATCCAGCTGCAAAATACGTGACTTGTGTGATGCGAAGAGCGTTTCCAAATCAGTTTCATAAGATAAAACAAATTTGATACGACTGAAAAACCACCTCCTCAAAGCGTGAAAACTTTTAACCGAAAAGCGTGATAATGGAAACTCACCTTCAGTCTGTGGTTATAGGAGGGAGCTAACCCAAGGAAAGTACCAGCTGTAGCCCATGAAACCGATACATCAGTATGTTGTTCTTGTTCTTCCAACTCTTACTCCAGCCGCCGTCCACATCCCCTGAACTTTAAATGAAGTTTTCTGCACAATCCCATCATTGCTGCACAATCCTTCGCTTTCACTTCTTCCTTCCACTCAATTTTCTGCTAATGTGCTTGAATGCTGCACTCATGGGCTGTTCTAGACAGGGGCCAATAGGGGCCAGTTCCCCTGTAGATCATGTCCTGGCCCCTGTTATATAGCCCCTGTACTGAAGACATAATACTCAAAGAAATTCCAATGATAATATGCACTGGAAAAGACATGGTTACTGATAGGTCCTTTGGATCAATTAATTTTTTTTCTTTACAAATTCTGTTTTACTAATTTTTTTTAAATGATAAGGTGATAGCTTTAGTGGTATTGAAATAGTTTTCATCTGCTAAATGTTTTTTTTTTTTAAGAAAAAAAGCTGAATTTATCTTTTTTTGTTCTAATTAAGATTTTTTAGAAAATTTTTATTTCAGCTTAAAGTAAGTAAGAAATGCGTTAAATTCTAAAAACTATAAATGTATATTGATCTAATAAGACATTTTATAATTTTAATTTCCATCTAATTGAATAGAAATTTCGCTTCATGCTGTTAAATTTATATATTTGAATCCCTTGCACTGTGTTTTATTTCATGCTTTTCTGGGCCCCCATGAAAACACGCTGGCCCCCTCCTGGCCCCCTGGTACATTTGGTCTAGAACCGCCAGTGGCTGCACTCTAATGGGCTTTTATGATTCAACGTTTTGAAGCTGTCCACTTTACACTGCTTCTTATTTTCATCAACTTTTATTATTCATTTTGCTGGTTTAACTTAGGCCTACATTAAAAGAGAAACTAAGTTTAATCATCTCTAAAATGCATTTATTCAGATAAAAATAAAGAAAGAAATAAAGAAAGAAAAGTTTGAAGTATATAATTGGCTCTTCCAAAAATTATAAGTTTAAAATATCACTAATAAAAAAAAAAAAAGATTTTCACAATAATCAATTAACTATGTTGCGCCTTATAGCATAGGGCGCAGCGCGGTCTGCTGCTCGGGACGCGCTCCGCCAGTAGGGGACTCACTTCATCTAATTATTAAAAATGGCACCTGTTCATGGGTTGGAAACAACAGACGAGGCTATTTGCTGTCATCTACAAAGTCGGTGAACAGAAACGTGGCTGATCTGACAGCTTTACGCACAATTTGAAGAAACCTCGTAAAGCTGAGAAGGCAGGAGTGAACAGTTTCCTTCACTTCACGGTGAGTGGGGACACTTTTTCTGGGTTGTTTTTTATTCATAAATGTAAATGTACCTGAAAGTCATAGATTGATGGCAAAGCCCGAGTTCTCTTCCTGAACTTTTTACTATCGTGTCAGAAAAGCTTGAGAAAACGAGGTGATAATATATGCTTTTAAAGTTCCGTCAGTGAAACTGAACTTATCAACCAACTCTTCCTCTTTCATTTTACTTGTGGAGCGGTCAAATCTGACAGTCTGCAATTTTATATCTGTTTTTAGAATCTATTGAAGCACATTTTTCCCCTTTTGCAGATTATTTAAAAACGCTGCTTAGTTCCTGGAAAAAAAGTATTTAAATTATGTCCAATGCATCATTAAAGTATATATTAGCAGGCATACGTGTGGTTTAATTTAGAAATTTAATTGTAAAAACAATCTCTGCTCCTTGAGGAAGCTCGGATTGGACTTAAGTTTGACTCTTCTTCAACACTGGAGTGTTCAATGTAAAGCCAGCTGGCCTAATTATATATTAAATTAATCATGACCAAGTAAGAGTCAGTCTCCTTTTGGATAGTGATCACCAAAGGACATCCAGATGTCCTACTTTGTAGTGATATATCCTGTTTCACTGAGCAAGAAACAGGTTCCTATTGTACTTGTAGAAGTTATGTCACGCTCCACGTAGCAGATCTTAGTTCCTGTTACAAATGACAACTGGTCATTAGCGATGAGGTGGATTTGCCTCATGAGATCAAAAATGATGTGTGTGTGTGTGTCACATATTAACTGGTGTGGGAGCCTTAGGGTGAGTCCCATCTAATGCCACGTGGGTCTTGGCAGGCTGTGGCCTCACAGAAGGTGAGTTCAGGTGTTTGTTGAGAGGTGTGGCGTGTTTGTTCGCTCTCATCGCCTCCCTGCTGTCTCAGCTCACCCTGTGGGACTCTTTCCTGAAGAGGCCAAGAGAGTGGAGGAACAGGGTCGGCTGGATCATCAGCTGCTCTGAGACGCACAAAACCGGTATGAGGTGTTTTCTCTCCGGCTTGATGTCTTTGGTTTTATACAAAGAGAGGTTAGTGAAAGTATACCAGGTAAAAGTAGGGAATGGTAACAGGAGAGCATGTTCTTGAAGCCGTGTGTAAGTGGTGGCCTTTAATAGTTGCCAAGGAGGCAAACTCAAGAGAATTTCTGTGCTTTTTCTGCTTCACAGCCTCCAAGGAATCACCTGTCGAGAAACATGCGTCTCCTACGCCGCCGTTTGTCTCCTCTAAAGCTGGTCCTCCTTGGCGGAACTCTTTTTATGGTGGTCCTGGTGGTCCTCCACAGGGATGTTGGTTCCTCAAATACTGGAGACCCCTGGCTACAAGACCTGGCCAACAAACGGGACGAAGTGATGGTCATGGTGCGAAAGGCAGTGAAAAACATTGGCTTCCAGATCGGAGCTCCACAGCCACCACCTGTGCAGGCACTGCCCACAGAAGACGCTAAATGCCCCTCTGGATTTTACACTCGGTCTGAACTCAAACCTCATCTGGAGAGGCCGCCGCAGGACCCTCAAAGCCCCGGGGCTGATGGGAGAGGGTTTGTGAAGGATAATATGACTCCTGAGGAGCAGAAGGAAAAGGAGGAGGGTATGACGAGGCATTGCTTTAACCAATTCGCCAGTGACCGGATCTCGCTTAGCCGCAGTCTTGGAGATGACACAAGACCTCCTGAGTAAGTGGAAGCCTTTAATATCTGAAGTAATTGCTGTGGTTCCAACAAGGATGTTGACATGTTGGCATGGGAGGATACCACCTGTGACTCAGAAGCCTTCCTCAAACAGGTCAATGATTTACATGCGTTTTCACAACTTTCCTTAATGACTTCAAGGGCTTACAGAGCCTGAGTAACTAATCTCCATGATATGCAATAACAGAGACTGACATGTCAAAGTAAACACTCCCATTTGTAGCCATGATAACACCCACACTCTCTGACTACAAGACTTGACATTTTAATTTTACTTTTGAGCAGAAACATTTTCCTGTTGAGTGATAGGTAAAGCTCACTGTTATATTTTAAAGTAACCGTGGTCACCTTTGTTATCAGGAAACAATGTTCTCCTATGTGTTGCTGTCTGAGGCCTTGTATGACTTTCATTTCAACAGATATGCCTCTTGTTCATTCCTTAGGTGTGTGGACAGGAAATTTCCTCGCTGCCCTCCTCTGCCTACCACCAGTGTCATCATTGTCTTCCACAATGAGGCTTGGTCTACGCTCCTGAGGACAGTCTACAGTGTTCTTCATACATCTCCCGCCATCATGCTGAAGGAGATCATATTGGTTGATGATGCCAGTACTGCAGGTAATACCTAAAGACTTTGAAGACAATGAAATAGGAACGTAGGATAAAGTAAATGTTAGCATGAGTGCCACAGTAAAGCCACTGTGCAAATTCACATTTGTAGTCCACATCTGCACCTCAGTCAATGATTTATTCCCCTTCTCAGATTTCAACATTTTAAGCAGCTGTGATCCACAGCAGGACAGAAACTTGCAATGTCATTTAGAAGACGATCTTATCAGATAGATGCAGATTTTGGGCAGCCACTGATGGAAACGGCATTAGAATGTGTTACACCTATTTAACGTTTTAAATCGAGTTCAAACTGGCCTTTTGCTGGGAGTTTGTTTAAAGGAGGATCACTTGGTGTCTCTGTTTTGCATTATTTACATGAAGGCCTTTTGCATAATTTTTACATTAACTAACCACTTTAGGAGGACAAGTAAAGTCTTCTCTTTAACATTCTCGGATTGGCCTTAATCAGTTTTATTGATGAAGACATTTTATGTTTATAAAGATTATATTTTTTAAAAATCTGGATTATTATTATTTTTTTTTTAACGGTTAGTGTTAACCCTACCAATCCACTCCTTAAGCTTCCTTACTGTAGCTCAAAGTAACGTCAGTTTATCTCTTTTTGTTCTCCGGTTTATCCTCATTACTTATAAACTAACTCACTGTGTGTTATCATTAGCTGATTCAGAATAATGGGTGTTAATTTGCATGTTTTTTTTTTTTTACTTTTTTTATTATGTGCAGTGTGTGGGCATGTTGCAGGTGATCTAAAATGATTGCTGGGCAAATATCAAGAGGTGCAAACCAGATTGTTTCCTCCCCATTAAATAAGCAGTTGCCAGTTAAGAGTAATAGTAGAATAAAGATAAGAGTTCTAAGCCAACTAGTTGGGAGTTATAAAGGAAATTATTTTAAAATTAATTATGTCTAATTAATATTCATAGAACAGTTTACACAGGTAGCTTTTATCAAAACCTTACTTCAAAAGTAAGAAATCAAAAGATGAAAATAACTGAAGTTGAATATAAAAAAAAGAAATATCATAAAACATGAAAAAGTTGATCTTGTTAATAGCTACGTCACCAAGGTTTTGATGTGTCAAAACAAATGCTTTGTGAATCAAGAATTAAAAAAAAAACCTTTTTCAAGGAATAGGTTATGTACACCCTCCACACGACCAACCCCCATGTGTCTTAATGGTGCGTATGTGGTTCTTTCTACAATACTTTTACAGTCATTTTTGTGTTTTGCTTTAATATATATTACAATTGCCCAATGCATTTGCTTTTTTTTCCTTTAGTAATATTATTCTTCTGTGCTGTACCGTCCAAATATATTTATTGTGAACAGAATCTCTCAATGGTCTGTCATTATACCAATGCCCCCTTTGGCCACAATAACCACAGAACAGTTTGAATGTACTTTCAGACGTTAGAAGGGCAAAAGAACAGTTTGAGATTCGGTAAATCAATTTTCACATAATTGTTTATATTTGAATATCCTCTACCAATAATTTGTGCAATTTGGTCTTTAGAATATGATCTGTATATTGATGAAGCACTTGCTCTCTGCTGGATTGCAAATACGTTTGCAAGTGATTTTAAGATGCTCAAATCTTCTAAAGAGGATTATTTTACAAGCATGTTTCACAGTTAGATTCTTTATTTTTTATTTTTTTTGCCCTTTAAATTAAGGTCACCTCCAAGCAGGGATGATTGAAATCAAAGCTAGTTTTTGATGGCAATATATTTTATTAGTTGTTTTTATTACGAAGCTTAAGTAGGGAAAAAAATTATTAATCAGATTTGGAGGAAAAAGCCTACGATTTGAATATATTTTTAGTTTATTAATTCCTTTGGTCATATTGCCCAGTCCTTGCTCCTTAATTTTATTTAACTTTTTTTAGGTCATGAGGTTCAATCATGATTTTTAGCATTCATAAAAAAAATGTTACCAGCTATTTGTCACTGGCTGTTACAAATAGCCTAATCTTATTCAAAGTATCAGATTAAGATCTTAGTTAGACTATGAATAATTTGTATTAAACCCCTAACCATCTAAGCTCCTTATACTGTCCTTATACCATCTGGGATTACGTGTGTGGTTTTATCAAATTCTATTTAATCTTTTAGCTGCATCACCAGCAACCCTTGCTTTCACAATGTAATGGTCAAAGTCTTAAGAAAAGAAAAAAAGATTGCAATCTGTTTTCATTTTAAAACTGTGTTGCAAGCCAGGTTTGGTTTGTTAGTCTTGAAAATCTAATATATCCCTCAACCATTAACTTTTCGCAACAATGTTCAGTAACATTGCAGTGCAGCTTCCTGTCTGTTTGGTCACGTGAGCTGCTCTGGGCGCTGTCTCTGGATGCCTTAAAGTATTTTAAGCAGTAGTACAAATTTTTAATGTGCTTTTCCTTCTTACAAACTTTTACTTGGACTAATTTGAAATTTGCTGCAAAAATGAATTACAAACAAAGACAATCATATTAAGGAGTAAACATGTTAACGTTACTCAAGCGTTTCAGCTGACTGCATGAAAATATGTTTAATAAAGGCTGCACTTGTATGTTTGAGTAAGCTCTATATTTCAGAAATGTAGGACTCTCCTACAAAAAGTTCTGATTGGGAAAAAAATATTTGTCCTTGCAAAAGGAAACTTGAGATCACAACAATACTGAGCAAGTTAAATTGGGCACAACCTTGTCATGTTTGCCAAGTGATAATGGAGAATGTGGTGTGTGGTTTTACTGTCTTTGAAAGCCCAATAAACTGATTTTATTGAAGTATCACACTAAGCTTTTAGTACCTGCAAAGGTGTGTTCTTTGAGAACTTTAATTCCTTAGATTTGAAACATCCAGTGTATCATTTTGCAAGCACAGTTGTAATTATGAAAATAAACCACAATGAAGGATTGCTGAATGATTCTTTTTTTGTTGGTTTTTTTTTCCTCTTCTGTAATTTTTTTTTATCACCTTTCATGAGGATTGTTGGCTAAAGCTTCCCTTTTTCGCTGTTTTTCTACTTTAATCTGTTGTTTTGTTAAACATAGTCTTATCCTGCACAGATCTTCTGCTAAAGATGCAGAGGCTATAGATAGCATCTACACTTCACCAAAAGTGTGTTGCACAATATAAATAAGATCTTATTGTTTAACATATTTGTTTATTTTGACCTTGAATAGGTAAAACATGAATAAATATATTTGCCTCAACTCTAATCTGGCCCAAATATTGAATATTTGTCACTGCAAATTGCAAAATAATATTTCCTTCCAAGCATCTGTCTGCAACTAACTCAACTAAAGTTAGTATTGTAGATCCTTCCTCAGTTAGTGAGCCACCTTATATTTCTGCAGAAAACTGTATGTCTTTACTGAATAATATCTATATTGGAAACATGTTGCATTTTTCCCATTATGATCATTTACACCATTCACTCCCCAATCTGCCATGCTTTGAGCCTCACATTACCCTTTCCAATGCTGTAGCTCAAACAGTTCAATATCAGTTTAATGTGCTACTTTTGGGTGTCTTGCTCTGTTTTCCATTATCTTTGAATGGTAACAAGGCAAACATTTGATCTCAAGTATTGCAGTTCAATTACAACCAAGCATGTTGGTTTGTTTCCATCCCACATTAACAGCCCATATGTTTGACAGCTCACAAACAAGTAAAACACAGATGGACCAAAAAAACATTGAAAATCCATCCAGTATCTGGTTATATGCAAATTATTGCACAGCATTATCTTCCAAATTCCTACAGAGTTATTGGCCCTCTGAAGTTGTAAAAGGTGATGGAGAATCCTGTTTGCTCAGGATTTTAGTAACTTAGTCACTCTTTAGCAAATAGGCAGTGTTGTGCAAATAACCGGGACCCGGAGTAAAAGTGGTGCGCAGAAAGACGTGTGTCACAGGCATTGGAGGCATAACAAGGAGCCTTTGGGTTTTACTGATACTGTGCACAGCTAATTCAAATTAAAGAGCATCAGTAGATGTTTCAAAAGCATCTTTACTTTTTATACGAAATAGTCTTGTTGTAAAACTTACATTTTTGACAGAAATGGTTTGCTGATGATGTTGATGTTGTTTATACATTTAGCAGATGCTTTTGTCCAAAGCGACTTACAAAGTACACACTATTTTACAGTTATCAATTTGACAATAAGTTCTTTAGAGGAAAAATCCATAGATGATTAAATTAAATTTACTGCACTGTGAAGTATTTGATACAAATTTAAATCTTTGCCTAAATAATGCAGACCCCATTTGGTTCATTTCTTTTCTCGTTTGTTCATTCATTCATTTGTTTTCTCTAGCTCTTTTTTTTTTTTTTACTGTAGTTATTTTCTTTTTGTGATTCTTTTTCTCTATGTATTTCTGTATTTCTGCATGGGCAAGCACTTGAAGACTTTGACTGCAATGCACGTAACCCTGGTTTGAATCTTGGTGCATCAGGGAGGGCATCTGATGTAAAAACATTGCTAAGTCAGCTCGCTACTTGTAGTGACTTTCTGTTGCGACCCCTAAAAATCAAAAGCATTTATATCTTTTTATTTATAGTTATTTCATTAACTCCTATTGAATGGTTTAAAAGAAAAAAGAAAAAAAAAGAAAATAGATTGCACCCCCTTGAGCGTGTGTCTTGGGTTCATGGTTATTTTTTAAAAGCACCTGGATTTTCTCCTAAAGTTTCACCTGACTTTGACTTTTAAGCAAAAATTTCTAAATGGAACTTCTTCTGATACATATAAAACACATAATATACAAAAGTAAATAACTAAACACTAAATACATCTTGGGTTAGGTTTGTTCATATGGAGCTCAGTTACAGGGTACTTTCCCAACAAAAGAAAATCAAATGTGTTCATAAAAAAAAAAAAAAAAAAATGCACTAGAAAATTGATTTGGAACATGTAACGTTTTACAAGTGTGTTGGCTAATTATTACCTCATATTGTTCCTGTGTTAAGTGAACCGTAAGATTGTCGATCTCTGTTCATCTGCAGGACATTAACTCTTAACAGCTATTTAACACCCCAATGGAACTGTTTTGATCAAATATCCATGTTTTAAAATGCCAAATGTAGTTCAAAGATGCTCCTTATACATCCTAAATGTGCTTAAGCTCTTCTGCAAAGAGGAATGGGCAAAATATTCAGGCTGTATATCTGCTTAGCTGGTAGAGACAAGCCCTATAGTGAAAGATGGTTCCAAAATGGTCTAAATCTTCTCTATATTATTCAGATTTTACTTTTTATCAACATTGACCAAATTCCCATGTCTACTAAGCGTATGTGATCTATTTTGTTTTATTTAATAAAACGTATATGAGTATGTATTAAAAAGGGTCAGCCCTGCTGCCACATTCATAGCTCTTTTTTTTTTCTCTGTTAAGTATTTATAAGTGTCTTATTAACTGAGCCTAAAATACTCTATTGTGTTTCCTCTTAGCTTCATGCACGCATTTCCTCCTTTACAGCAACTTCTCTTTTTAGCTGCCAGTTGCAGTGCTCTCGACTTGTGGCTGCTTCGTTCACACAGCCTAAAACTGAGAATTAGGTGCCGTTTATTGTGGCCACAAAAGCTCTGAGAGGGGAAGTTTGACCCACTTTTACCAGAGAAGTTTCCACTTCATTGCTTTTGTTGGCATGAGCTTGATGAATGTATGACTTTTACATCTCCTGCACCATGAGGTTTTCTGTCATATAAGAGGCAGAATTGTTTTACAGATGGAGCATAGATTTGAGGTTTGTCGCTTCGTCTTTCCTGTAGTTCTGTTTATCACTACATCATTGGAGCTTTACCGAAAGAGCTGCCCTGACCCATGTTTTTGTATCCCACAGAGCACCTAAAGACAAAGCTGGAGGAGTTTGTGGAGCAGTTTAAGATTGTTCGTGTCGTCAGGCAGCCAGAGAGAAAGGGCCTCATCACAGCCAGGCTGCTGGGAGCCAGCATAGCTACAGCTGAGGTGCTCACCTTCCTTGATGCCCACTGTAAGGAAAACGTCACACACAACCGTCAGCGGTAATGCACATGTCACAGACAGGATCTTGGTTTGCCTAAAATGCTAGTAATAGACACAGAGCAACAATGCATTTAAGTGAACCTCTAAAACAGTGTTGATTTATATATAGTTGTTGAAGTTTTTTTTATGTAATCTCTGCAATATTTTATGAAAAAATATCTATTTACCAAAAGTTCCTGATTTAAAAAAAAAAAAAAAACATGTTGCAAAATTTGTATTTACTGATAATGTTAATATGAAATCAAAAATATTTGCTTCTAAATGAATAAACATGTACGACCCACTAAAAACGTCCTCCTTTCTGCTGTAATTCTGGCTTGGAAGTATTTACTGAGGACTCTTCTATTTTGGTAGAGTTCATTCAGGCTTGGTCTCTTGACTATGAGCCGATGTGTAAATATATTCCACATATTTTGAATAAGGTTCAGTTCAAGTCCGACACAGATAATTGCTATTATGTTGCTCCTGTCAGTTTTGATTGTGAGTTTAGCAACATTGCACAGTTTGAATACCTAGGTTTGTCCAAATTGAAATTTTCTTCATTATCCAATTGATTTTGTTAAATTAACCAAAACCTATGGAAGGAAAACACACTCTCCATTTGATGCTGTTGTATCCATGCTTGATAGATGGAACTGTCACATTAACTCCTCCAAATGTTGTTTTTTTTATGGAGGTAAATCAGTCTCAATTTTAACAAATACACATATGTGATTCATACATGCACAGGACAAGATCCACACAAGCACAGCAGGATTCACGCAAGCACAAAAAAATCCACACACACAAAGGACAAGACTCACAGAACCAAAGAACGATTGAGGCAAGCACACAAGATCCACACATGTACAAAACAAGATTCACCAAAGTATTTCTGTTACATAAAAAATTATAAATTAAATTACAAGGTCTTAAAATACACTGCATTTGTGTGCATTTTTGAGACTCCCTTGACGTGCCTTGATAGACAAATGCATTTTTTTAAACAGGGAATGGTTTGCCACCAATCACAAAGCTTCCTTGTATAAGCCAATCACAAGAAAGTGCTCCACGTGGGATGACTTACCCTCCGATTCCACATACTCCCCTCCATTCTGCCACGCTTAGATATGTTGTGCAGAGCACTTGCGCACTCATGTTAATCAGAACTGTTCCACATCCACCGCTACTCCTTCAAATGTCACAGTCCACATATGTCTTCTCCGTCCTTCACCGTCACAATATGAAGCTAAGCTACTGTTAGCTCCGCTCCGGCCAGGTCAAGATCCGCAATTGCAATCGCACCAAATGGAAAAAGAACGGCGAGAAGAACCTGTTTGTCAAATTAAAATGTGTTAACGACAGATCGTTAACTACAAATTAGAGCACAATTCATATATATTCCCAAAAACTAGGACCGTTCATTTAAATTATTGAATGCAGATATCGGTACCTCAACATACCAGGAAGCAGATTTCTCATCTCAATCAAAATATTTATTTTATACTGAGAGGCTTAAAAGTTTAATCAAATCCAGTCACAACAGCTTCCAAGAGCGCCTCTCACAAGTTACAAACAAACTTCTTATCTGAGTTTGGAGGTACAGTAGAACAAACCAAACCAGCGGTGCAGAACGGGAGTAACCATGGATGATGTAGGCTTTGTTTTGTGCAGGCTGTCTAGAGCGGGGCGGATACGAAGGATGTGGTATTTGGGGGTGTCATCCCACATGGAGTACTTTCTTGTGACTGGCTTATACAAGGGAGCTTTGTGATTGGTTGCAAAACATCCCGTTAAAAAAAAAAAAAATGCATTCGTGTATCGAGGCATGTAAAGGGAGTTTAAAAAAAAAATCCACACACAAATGCAGTGAAGTTTAAAGACCACTGGTACTTTGTAATTTAATTTATACTTCTTTATGGACCAGAAATACTTTTGGTGAATCTTGTTCTGTGCATGTGTGGATTTTTTTTGTGCTTGCATGAATCGTTCTGTGCATCTGTGAATCTTGTCCTTCGTGTGTGTGGATTTTTTTTAGTGCTTGCATGAATTATGCTGTGTATGTTTGGATCTCTTCCTGTGCATGTATGAATCACATATGTGTATTTGTTAAAATGGAGACCGATCTAGCTGCATATTTTTTTTGAGCCAGATTTATTTTTTCATCTCTTTCTCATACGTTTAAAACTCTCGACTGAACCAACAAACGTTCATAGAAGTTGGTTTTAGAACTGTTTAGGGAAGCCAGCTATGACTATAACTTTGAGAAAAATTCCTAACATGAACCATTCTAGAAAAGACTTTACTTTGTTTTAGGAAGCCAGATATAAAAGATCAAATACTATTTCAGAGTAGATGAAGGGTAAAATATCCTATTGGCTGCTAAAAGGCTTCAGATTCTCAGCAACAAATTAAGGGATGTACTTGTATGCTGGAGCCTTGATGTATCAATTTGACCCTTGTGGGTTAAAGAAAATCACAAAAAATTCAAACCTGTGCAGCCAATTCTTGTTTAATGAAGTTATAATAACAATTTAACTTTAATGACACTGGAGAAATTTACCTCTGCATTTAACCAATCCCCTTGGGGATCATTAGGCTGCCATTGTGCACTGCCCAGGGAGCAGATTGGGGTTAAGGGTTTTGCTCAGGGACCCAGAGTGCAGGCTGTTGGGATCGAACTGGGTGCTTACCTTCTGAGAGCACAAGCACACTGCTCTAACCACTAGGCCATCACTCCCCATTATAGAAGCTATGGCAAAGTCTGGAAAAAGCTTCAAGTTGATGAATGTATATGTTTGTGACCACAACTGAAAGTTGGTTTGTGCAGCAGAGCTTTTGTAGAAAACGGAAATCATTCTCTCCTCTTCTTATTTTTAGGTGAGTGTTTTCATGGTTGGTTAGAGCCTCTCTTGGCCAGAATAGTTGAAGAACCCACCGCTGTAGTCAGCCCAGAGATCACCACCATTGACCTCAACTCCTTTCAGTTCAACAAGCCTGTGGCCACCAACCGTGCATACAACCGAGGTAACTTTGACTGGAGCTTGACCTTTGGCTGGGAGCCGATACCCGAAGAAGCAAGGAGTCTCCGCAAGGATGAAACCTACCCTGTAAAGTAAGATGGATCATGTTGTTTATATTCAACTGAATCATTTAAAGAGCTAAAGCCTTTGGATTTGCTCATGAAATTTTCAGAACACCTACTTTTGCTGGAGGCCTTTTCTCAATCTCAGCGAAGTACTTTGAGCACATTGGAACTTATGATGACAAGATGGAGATCTGGGGCGGAGAAAATGTTGAAATGTCCTTCAGGGTCAGTCTCTCTTTTGTGTTTCCCCACCATGACCAGTATTGATTAACACGTTTCTTTGACATTTGCTTCTAACATTTATCTCTGTGAAGGTGTGGCAGTGTGGGGGTCAGCTGGAGATCATCCCTTGTTCAGTAGTGGGCCATGTTTTCCGCACCAAAAGCCCACACACCTTCCCTAAAGGCACTGAGGTCATCACTCGCAACCAGGTGCGCCTGGCTGAAGTCTGGATGGATGATTTTAAGAAGATCTTCTATCGCCGCAACAAAAACGCTGCAGTGATGGCCAGTGAGGTCTGTTTTTTTTTTATATATATATATATATATATATATATATATATATATATATATATATATATATATATATATATATATATATATACTGTTGCATCAAATGGCTCCAACATGTTCTATCATTTTGAAAACGGTGGTGTGTTTAAAGAAAACCAGTTAGTAAAGCTCTGAATTCCTATGATGGCTTTTATTTCCATGTATGCAAATGTGTCAAGGGTACTG